GCGAGAAGCGGTGCGGGCGAGCGATGTGCTGGCCGCGGCTTCTCGCCACCCCCATTGGCCCGGGACAGCGAACCGCGGCCAGTGGGGGCTGCGATCGACCGAACCTGCCGCATCAGCAGGTAAATAAAACTGGCCCGGCCCGCCAGGGTGCTTACCCTGGCGAGCCGTGTGCCGAACGTTGCCGACCTCTGTAATAGAGGCTCTCACCTAGTCAGTGAAAAACATATGGAGACACAGAGACCCATTGTACTCCTTGGGTTTTATTTAGATATCTTCTGTTCTTCCTTTAGAACTGACCCTCATGGATGGTTATGATGTATGATCCTGGTACAAATGGTATAACATATCTTGGCAGGTTGCCTGCCATTTTGGAATCTTGGCATTATCTACCACTTGCAATGGGGCAGAAGATAATTGTTCTTATTCCCATCTAACCTTCTGGTCCAGATTCCTTGAATGTAATTAATTCAGGGTTAATAGGCTCAAGAAACTTGTTAGATATTGGTGCGAAGGTTTTATGCTCATGGTGATCCTAGTAAAGCACTTTAAGGTGGCATGCAATATGCTACACTACTAAATATGGATCCCCGGATTCCACCAAGGCCTTTTTTTAATCAAGTTTTTTGCTATTTGTGCTGATTCTTCTGCTAACCTTTTGCCTGTTCATTTTAAGGGCTAGACATCATGTTCTTCAGCTGATATTCTAGTGGAAATGCTATTCCTTCATGGCCTTTACTGGAGCACTCATCGCTATAGAATCTGAGTGCATCACAAATATTCATGAATGTATCTCCACATCTGTCAGCAAGATTAATAGAATTCTCCCCATTTTACAGATGGAGAAACTGAGGTGGAAACTTATCTGAGGTCGCACATTGAATCCGTGGCAGGATTTGATTTAAGGATATTTACTTATATTTTGATGTGATAACTTTGTACAACTGTGAAGATTTAAATCGATAAAAATTGAAAAAATGCTTACAAATAAACACTATTATCTGTAAAATTATTTAAAAAATAATCAAATTCTGCCAAGCCTATCTATGCTACAGTTTCACTTTTTGAATCCCCATGTAAGGCTTTTGATGTAGTCCCACACAACATTCTCATAAGCAAATTAGGGAAATGTGGTCTAGATGCAGTTACTATAAGGTGAGTACACACTTAGTTGAAAGACCATACTCAGAAAGCAGTTATAAAATATCAGTGGCTTGCTGTCAAACTGGGAGGGTGTATCTATTGGGGCCTGTAGGGTTCAGTCTGGGGTAATATTTTCATTGATGACTTGGATAATGGAGTGGTGAGTCTGCCTGTAAAATTTGTGAATGGCACCAAGCTGGGAGGGGTTGCAGGCACTTTGGAGGATAGGATTAGAATTCAAAATGACCTTGACAAATTAGAGAGTTTGTCTGAAATCAAGAAGAAATTCAATAAAGACAAATGCCAAGTACTTCACTTAGGAAGGATAAATCAAATGCACAACTATAAAATGGGGAATAACTGGCTAGGTGGTGGTACTGTTGAAAAGCATTTGGGGTTATAGTATTTCACAAATTGAATATGAGTCAATGAGATGCAGTTGCACAGAAGACTAATATTATTCTGGGGTGTATTAACAGGAGTTTCATATTTAAGACACAGGAGGTAATTGTCCCATCTTCTTGTCACTGGTGAGGCCTCAGCTGAAGTACTGTGTCAAGTTCTGGGTGCCACACATTAAGGAAGATGTGGACAAATTGGAGAGAGTCCAGAGCACCGCAACAAACTGGATAAAAGATTTAGAAAACCTGACCTATTGAGGAAAGATTTAAAAAACTGTGCTTGATTAGTCTTGAAAAAAGAAGACTAAGGGGAGACCTGATAACAGTATTCAAATATGTTAAGGACTGTTATGAAGAGACAGTGATCAGTTGTTCTCCACCTCCACTGAAGGTAGGACAAGAAGTAATGTGCTTAATCTGCAGCAAGGGAGATTTAGGGTAGATATGAGGAAGAACTTTCTAACTATAAGTGTATTTAAGCTCTGGAATAGGCTGCCAAGGGACATTATGAATCCCTGTCATTGGAAGTTTTTAAGAACAGGTTGGACAAACATGTGAGGGATGGTCTAGGTTTACTTGGCCCTGCTTAGGGCAAGGGGCTGGGCTGGATGACTTTTTGAGGTCCCTTCCAGCCTGACATTTCTGTGATTCTATGTTATAACTCAGACATATGTCATAGAAAGCTTGCCTTCTAGTGGTGGACTCAGAGAGTGCAAACTACTTAACAGAGATAATATTAGGGGGTGAATAGATTACAGTTTGTAAGTATCTAAACAGGAAACAAATTATTAATAATAGACTTCAAACTATCAGAGAAAGGTACATAATCCAATGACTGGAAGTTGAAGCTAGTCAAATTCAGACTTGAAATAAGGCATACATTTTTGACACTTAGAGTAATTAACCATTGGAACAATTTGCCAAGGGTCATGGTGGATTCTCCATCACTGACAATTTTTAAATCAAGATTGGATGTTTTTCTAAAAGATCTGCTCTAGGAATTTCATTTGGGGAAGTTCTATGGCCTGTATTATAGAGGAGGTCAGACTAGATGAACACAATGGTCCCTTCTGGCCTTGGAATCTATGGATCTGAATTCAGGGCTCAGAAATTATTGTTGCTACTAGGCTTGTTGAATGGCTTTCCTGGCTGCTGTGAGTAGGGATTTTGATTATCTGAGAATTGCATTGTAGAACATGAAGCATGGTTCTTAGAGGGAACCTCTAGGCACACAGTAGTAAAAGTATGCTAGAACCCTGCAAGCAACTGCTGACTAAACATACTTGTAATTTAGCATAGTTTTATTCCCAACGTAGATAAGGTCTGACATCTCATCTGTAAAAATGATTAAGAGAATCTGGTTGTAAACAAGATACAGTTTCTCAGTTGAGCTTTCTTGGATGTGTTATACATTACAATTTTTATTTGAAATTGGAGGGAATGTTTTTGGGACTGATACAGTAATGGTGATTGAAGGTATGCTACAATTATGCCTTCAAAGTCCACTCAGTAAAATATACGGTGCTCTTTTAGAAAAGCACTTATCATTCTTACCAAATGTAATTGAAAAGTACTAATCTATTTTTCCCCATTGGTGGGGTTGTTTGTGCTGAAGGAATTTTAAAGGGGCATAAATCAGTGAGTACCTCAGAATTTTATCAAGTGTCTCAATTTTCAAAATGGGGTATCTAAATACAATTATATTGTCTTATTTTATTGCTCAGATTTTGTAAACTGATTTAGATCCCATCATTGCTAATAGTTGGGAAATCCCATAGTAGATGCTCAAGAACAGACTTTTTTAGTTGCTAGTTGTTATATATTTGAATACCTAATTTTTTTCCCTTAAGGTTAAATAAAGACTAGCGTATTACTCTTGTAGTTTGTTATGTAGTATTAAATAAGAAGACAAACTGAAAATGAATTCTGGCGTGTCAAAATACATTGGGAGAAAGTGGAAACAAGATAAAGTTTAGTAACCTTTGTGTTTGCCTAAATGCTTAAAGGTAATCCAAAACAAACACGAGTTTAATTTAAGAATTAGTGTTTACAGTGAAGATTAATAGAAATTAACTCTTTATAAATATTAATGAGAAATTTCTGCTTTGACTTTTAGTACTTCTGCTTTCCGCTACTAGATTTATATTATTTCTTTAGCACCATGATTCTGAAATTTGTCTCTTACAAACTGTAGTCTTGGGTTGCTATTGCTGTATGTAAGAACTATTAATACACTTAATGAGAAGTGATACGCTAATGTTTATACTACATAAGAAATAAGAGTGCAAATACTTGAGGAAGAAAGTCGAAAAGGACAAAAGCACTTCTGTAAAAATTGGACCATTGAGCAGATTTATGGAGTAACAACACAACACTTCAGCTGCCTAGCCAGCTGACTTCTAGAATTTAAGTGTGCATTTGAGTGTCTTAATTGACAAACCTTAAATGAAACTAAATGACCACCTAGTTTTATTTAAGCATAGCATCAGGTGTGCATTTGAGGTGCCACCTCAGGTATACATTTATGTATATCTGATTTTTTTTTTTTATTGCACATTTTATGCAGGTACTGCTTTTAATAGACTACTAGCATCATGGCTCTGACTATTAAATTAGCTATTGGAATGCTTTATAAGAATTCACTAGTACTGTTGACAAATGTAATGGGCTTAGTTATATAGTTTTTCTATGACTGCACCAGTTTTCTTTATGCTTCACTTTTGTTTAGAGTTAATTATGCACTAATCTACACTGCTGATTTCATGTGCTGAATCAGTGATACTAAGACCTGAGTGGTTCAGGAGCCAAATTAGTGATCAGCATTACCCAAGAGTCACAGTAATGTGAATTGATTATATAAATAATTCTCACAGCCTAACTTAATTGGTTAATAACATAGTAAAAACATCCTGACTGGTTGTTAACTTAGATTGGTTAATAATTAAATCACACAGTGTTTTAATAACATGTACTGCAAAGAGCCACAAGAGACACATTAAAGAGCCACTTGCAGCTCGCAGGCTGCACTCTGAGTATCACTGTGTTAAATTGTCAAGTTTGAGTGTCTGTGGTGTTATGGTATGCAGAATGGTAGTGGACATGTGTGGTGGTCAGCAATATTGGCATTTGCATAGATGACTGATGTAACTTTGAGGGGAGAGAACTTGTGATTTATCTTAATCTTTGTTTTTGGAGGCTTGTTATGCATATTCTCCCCCTCCCCCCAAAAAAATTAACAAAGATTGCTACAAGAAATATAACTGTACAAAATACATCAAAGGAATATTATGATTAAAAGGAAAGGTTGGAAGTAACCAGGTAAGATAATTTAGCAGGGTTTGTAGTGAAGCACTAAACTCAGTGCACAGCAAACAGCTTTGTTTCTTCAAGTATAAAAGTTTGTAGCTCAGTGAGGCCATGTATATCGCAGTACCCTGTAGAACAGTGGTTCCCAAACTTTAACAACCTGTGAACCCCTTTCACTAAAATGTCAAGTCTCGTGAACCCCCTCCTAAAAATGAATATTTCCAGGGATTTTCTCCTTTACCTGAGTATAAATTATAAAAGCAGTGATCTTGGAAATATAAAATTTGTTTTTATGACATGCTTATTACACACTATTTATTATTTATCATTACAGTATTTTTATTACATTATGAAAACAGCAACATTCTTCCAAGATCTCATTTTCATAGCTTGTATCACTTTGAATAAGCCTGTTATAAGACAAGGCTCCTATGTTTCATCAAGGAGTATCAGATGTGAAACAGCATGAAGGTATTTAAGAAGCCAATTCAAAGAGTTCCTCCTACACAAGCATTCAGGTCTTGAGCAGTCCAGGCAAACAATTTGTTCTTCATAATAATTTTAAAAACAATACTAGCTGCCTATTTAATTTTAAAAACAGCAAAAAATATCCACCTCCCTTTCTATTTCTTATAAGGAGTCTTGAAGTTTAAATCTCCTCAGTGTAATAGATATGCTTGCTTTGATCTGCTTAGCTCTTGGAAGTCCAAGGGCTCTGGGCTTCTGGCCCTGGGCTGTCCGCCATTAAGGAATTTTTTCCCAAGAACCCCCTGTAACATTTTGTGAACCCCCAGGGGTTCACAAACCCCAGTTTGGGAACCACTGCTGTAGAACTGTGAAGGATAGAGCTTCATAGGAGAGGGAAGTGAAGTATCTCAGGGACCCAGCAATCATAACAAAGCCACAGGGTGCTTGCTGAGTGGCAGGATTAGCCTCTGAACCTATTTAACTTCTTAACTTTATACTTGTAAAAAGAAAGCAGCTTACACCTCACCAAGTGACATGTTTAAGCATGAACCTGGCAATCTACAAACTAGTTTACTTACTAAACTGATTAAAATTTTCAGTTTGTGTAGGATCAGGAGCTACTCCTATCTCCAGTTCCTTGCAGAGCTACAAAGTTCTGCAAGATACCTGGCTCCCTTTAGGTTTCACTGCCTATTGCTGAGCAATGTGTAAACTTTACATCACTACTTTGCTAATAGAAATCCAGCCACTATTGTTGATGAATGTAAAATTTATTTTGCTTAAAATTCATCTTTCTTAAAATCTATGGTATGCATGAATTTTCATAGGTATTGCATGTGTGAATTTGCTTCAACTTACTATAACTGTTCTTAATATTAGGCTACAGGTTTTGTTTAGGGAAGACAAACTAGTTTATTATTTATTGCTAGATATATCTGCTGTATGTGAATTTGTGACATGAACAAGCACAAACTAATAACTTGTATAAAACGATTAATTGGACCTCTTCAAATTGGAATTGGAGTCTAATATTAATAGTATTTTTTGAAGAATCTCAGATTTAAATTTGGGTTACTGCTATTTTCTGAGAATTCTTTGCCTGGCCATCTGTTTAAAAATTACTTGCTTCAAGAAGGCAACAAGCTACACTTCTAGTCACAATTTTTTTTCTGTAAAAGCATTTTAGTTGTAAAAACACTTTAAATTTATGAAAACTTGCATAATATGTTAATAGTACAAACAAAAATATGGGAAAACATTCTACTTTCATTCTTTTTTTTTCTTAAACACCAAATCAAGTGTTGTATAACTTATATTTTAAAAGGGGAAACATAAAATAAGTTGGATGGAATATATTTTGTTTGTCTCTTTTGTCTTCAAGGTTTGGCTTGAGCAACAAATTTGACACAGAATTTCCCTCTGTCCTGACAGGAAAGGTAAGTCTGAGTTTGTATTGAAATTTTAAATTCAAAAGACATTTCATCCAATAGTTTGTGCATTACAAATGTCTAGAAGCATTATTCTTGAATTCAGGTAGAATAAGTCTAAGTCAAATCCCTTCCAGGTCAGTAGTGACAGGACGTTGTTACTGTCTGCCACTCTGTCCTACATGAACCAATTTGGCAGTCGCTGCCCAGTTCCTAGTGCATATGTCCACGTCATAAAAACTACTCACCACAGTTGCAGTCATTGTCAGTCTGAGCAAAGAAGGACCAAGGGGGTCTGACCTCACCTACAGTAGCTTCACTCCTCTCTATAGGCAGTCTCTTCAAAACATGACAGTGGCACACCCTGGGTTTATGGATCCAGAAGCCTGTGCTACCAGTTGTATGGATTAAATAAAGGACTTCAGTGCCTTTCAATCTGGTTTCTCTCTCAATCACTGAATTCACTTTAACACTTTTTGGGGGTGGGGGGGTGGAATTCCATTTCTCCATAGACTGGCCTCCAGTGTAAGCCTGTAAATGAAAAAATGTTTGATCGCTTTGCTAAGCACATCTATAGTTATTTGGTCATTTGTAAAAATGATATTTTGCAGAAGAAAAAGTATAGTCGGCTCACCACGTTTTTGGAGGAAATCCTCCCACTTTTCATAGTATTCTGTATCTTGACTGACAGAGGTTAGCAGAAATCCCCTTTTAAAATTGATAGTCATCTATTAATGAAATGTTGTGACCAGATCTTGGTTCTTGCTTTAAAACCTTTCCTTGTTCATACATTACCTCTATTTCAGATTTGTGCTGCTTGTTCTGACTTTTCACTTTTCTCATGTCTTTAAATTAAGTTACATTACTCTAACTTTTCCCTTTGTTTCACCCCATACTGTACTATTCCCTTTCAGAATCGGGGGGCGGAAGGTTCAGCTCTTGTTACTCTCCCTAATGACAAAGTGTGTAGCTAAGGTCTCCTACTGCCTTTGCACTCACTATTGAGTCATATTAACATTGTACATACATGCATTTGGATGGCATCCTCTGTCTGGTTCTGACAAATCCACCTGTTTCGCCTCCTGGAACATGATGATTATGAAAATACTGCATCTCTGTCCTACAAATTATTTGACAGCAGTTGAATTAAATGGTGAAAAGGCAGGTTGCCATTTGGATTTTCAAGGTGTCAGAAGGCAACCTGGTAAATCTGGGCCTAATCCCAGAATAGGGAAAGGATCTCATTGACTTCATTGGGTTTTGAATCAGACCCAGTATCACTAAATGGGTTTTTGCCATGTTACATGTTGGTGTATTCTCCTGGGCCTTAAGTTAAACGTTCAGAAATAATTCCTTGATGTAAAGCAACAAACTAAACTCGATTTGAAAAAAATGTGAAAATTCAACAGATGTTTCAAATAAGCATATTTTTCTATAAATGAAGCTACCAGTACGGAAAATTTCATGAATAATTGTTAAAGCATAATTCAATATTGAAATTAACAAATGCTAGCTTAAATAAAACTTTAATGGAAACGTCAGTGTCTCTCTCATTTTCCTCTTAATGGTGTTTTCAGCGTTAACTGGTTTATGAGCATTCTCCAGGTTCGATAGCAAAAATTTTCATTACAGGTCAACTGACTTTTCTCTTTAGGTTCAGAGGGAAAAAATAGAAGTTGACTGGCTTCTTATATCCCCCTTTCATTCTTACTTGTTGAGGGCTTTCATATAATGGTGTAAATAAAAAATCATATCTGATATAACTGGGTGCAGGATACAGTAGAACCTCAAAATTACGAACACCCCGGGAATGGAGATTGTTCGTAACTCTGAAATGTTTGTATCTCTGAAAAAAACATGGTTGTTCTTTCAAAAGTTTACAACTGAACATTGACTTTGAAATTTTACTATGCAGGAAAAAAATGCTGCTTTTTAACCATCTTAATTTAAATGAAACAAGCACAGAAAGTTTCCTTACCTTATCAAAACAAAATTAAACTTTCCCTTTATTTTTTTAATAGTATTTAGGTTTTTTTACATTTAACACAGTACTGTATTTGCCTTTTTTGGGGGGTGGGGTGGGGTCTCTGCTGCTGCCTGATTGCGTACTTCCGGTTTAGGTGTGTGGTTGACTGGTCAGTTCATAACTGGTGTTTGTAACTCTGAGGTTCTACTGTATATTTTTTGTTTTCAGAAATCAGAATCTGTGTTTTTTACCTTTTTCCCATACCAATTTGAGGAGCTGTTCTCAATTATAGAAATCTTGAAATAAACAAATAGTCTCCTGTGTGAGAAAAAGTAGGGCTGTCAAGTGATTAAAAAAATTAATCGCAATTAATCATGCGATTAATCGCACTGTTAAACAATAATAGAATACCATTTATTTAAATATTTTGGATGTTTTCTACATTTTCAAATATATTGATTTCAATTACAACACAGAATACAAAGTGTACAGTGCTCACTTTATATTTATTTTTGATTACAAATATTTGCATTGTAAAAAACAAAAGAAATAGTATTTTTTCATTCACGTAATACAAGTACTGTAGTGCAATCTCTTTACATGAAAGTTTAACTTACAAATGTAGAATTATGTACAAAAAAAAGCTGCATTCAAAAATAAAACAATGTAAAACTTCAGAGCCTAGAAAGTCCATTCAGTCCTACTTTGTGTTCAGCAAATTGCTCAGACAAACAAGTTTGTTTACATTTTCAGAAGATAATGCTGCCCACTTCTTGTTTACAACGTCATCTGAAAGTGAGAACGGGCATTCATATGGCACTGTTATAGCCAGTGTCACAAGATATTTACGTGCCAGATATGCTAAAGATTCATATGTCCTTTCATGCTTCAACTACTATTCCAGAGGACATGCATCCATGCTGATGACGGATTCTGCTAGATAATGATCCAAAGCAGTGTGGACCAACGCATGTTCATTTTCATCATCTGAGTCAGATGCCCCCAGCAGAAGGTTGATTTTCCTTTTTGGTTGTTCGGGTTCTGTAGTTTCCGCATCAGAATGTTGCGCTTTTAAGACTTCTGAAAGCATGCTCCATACTCTCTCAGATTTTGAAAGGCACTTCAGGTTCTTAAACTTGGGTCGAGTGCTGTAGCTATCTTTAGAAATTTCACATTGGTATTTTGTCAAATCTGCAGTGAAAGTGTTCTTAAAATGAACAACATGTGCTAGGTCATCATTTGAGACTGCTATAACGTGAAATATATGGCAGAATGCAGGTAAAACAGAACAGGAGACATACCATTCTTCCCAAAGGAGTTTAGACATAAATTTATTTAATGCATTATTTTTTTAACGAGTGTCATCAGCATGGAAGCATGGCCTCTGGAATGGTAGCGGGAGCGTGAAGAAGCATATGAATGTTTAGCATATCTGGCATGTAAATAGCCTGCAATGCCAGCTACAAAAGTGCCATGCGAATGCCTGTTCTCACTTTCAGGTAACATTGTAAATAAGAAGCGGACAGCATTATCTCCCATAAATGTAAACAAACTTATTTCTCTTAGTGATTGTCTGAACAAGAAGTAGGACAGAGTGGACTTGTAAGCGCTAAAGTTTTACATTGTTTTGTTTTTTAATGCAATTATGTAACAAAAAAAATCTATATTTGTAAGTTGCACTTTCACGATAAACAGATTGCACTACAGTACTTCTATGAGGTGAATTGAAAAATATGATTTCTTTTGTTTATCATTTTTACAGTGCAAATATTTGTAATAAAAAATAATATAAAGTGAGAACTATACACTTTATCCTGTGTTGTAATTGAAATCAATATATTCGAAAATGTAGAAAAACATCCAAAAATATTTAATAAATTTCAATTGGTATTCTATTGTTTAACAGTGCGATTAATCACGATTAATTTTTTTGAGTTAATCACGTGAGTTTACTGCAATTAATCGACAGCCCTAATAAAAAGCAAATAATTTCTCTTGCTAACTGCCAGTTACTATCATCTTTGGTTTTGAGGAAGAAGAATCTTGTGCTCAGGTGAATGCAAGAAGCAAACATGCTGGTCCTGGCCATTTGTTGATCTATTTTAAAAAAAACCAAAACATGTCTGTTTAATTTCAGTATAAATGTATTTTCAGTGGCACCCAAAGTTCACAAGGGTGAATTTTGCAATCAGTTGTTACATTTATTTTTTTAAAATAAATGTAACGTAAAAAGCATTGGAATGATTGCGCTCTGAAAGTCCATGTTATACATAGCATAGTCCCTTCTTTAGTCAACCATTCTATTGTTAAGATGTATAAGATTCTTTGTTAAGAATAATGCACAATGCAATAAAACAAAGTAATATTTTATTCAGAACACAGGCATAACAATTTAATAGATCTGTGAGTTCATATTATCCAGTCCAGCAGCTTGGATGCATTAGTTAAGCCATTAGATGTGGGCTGTGTTTTCTTTTATAATAAATATTACTGGAGGAAAACCCAAAGGTAAATCCTTAAAATAACACTAAAAGTCTAATTTTTAAAAAGATGCTGTCTAGGTAACTGTCTCCCAAAAAATATTAACATTTTGGAATTATGATACTGGCTCACGTTGTGACTCTGGGAAATTTGCTTAACCTGTGTAAGTCTCAGTTTCCCCCTCTGTAACATGAGGATAGTAATACTTAAACTTTGAAGTGCTTTTGAGATCGATAGACAAATACTACTGAAGTGCTAGGTATTCTTGTTATTACAACGCTAATCTGTTTCTTAACTGAAATATTCCCCCATTGTTTACAGGTACTGGTTATTCATTATAGAATTCTTGAGTGCTAAGATGCAGAGAAAATAAGCAAACATAAAATGGTAACTGAAAAGCACACTGAAACATTGCTCTCTTTTTTGGGGGAATGGGCACATGTGTAGTGGAGGTTATATGGGCTCTGAAAACAGATATATAGGGGGAAAGTTTCAGGTGGGTCAAAAATTGGGCCTACTAATCTAGTCAGCTTCTCAACTTTCAAGATAAATTGATACTAAC